GTTCCCAACCCCTCATTTTACAGTCGGGGTGACCTTGCTTCAAACGTGTTGCAAAGGCAGAAGGTCCAGCAAAGGTGTTTTCTAGGGTGCAACGTGGAAAATACACTTGGGATTCATATATGGGTCTCTTTGGCCCAGCCTGAAGCCCTGCATGTGGCGTAAAGGAGAAAAATGGCTGGAAAGCTCCCAAAAGCTGACCCTGCAATTCCTCTGAATTCTCCCCACCACAAACCTAGCCAAGTGTCCAGAATGGACGAGAAACAGATCAGTAGTCTATCGGTTTTGGAGTAGAACTCTGATGCTCATATTCCCTGAGAGACACCTGAGCACCATGATCTCTTCGGAGTTTCTGGGGCTCTGACATCGAGGAGGGTCCTCAAAAGCAGTGAGTTTCTAAGGAAAATCTGAACCTCACTGAAGCCATCTTGTAGGCCTCTGACAACATCTTTTTCAGTTTCCCTGCTACTGAGAAAACACAAGGCCCCTCTTTCTCTCCACTTTGAAGTAGCTAAAGTACATTCTGTATCCACAATCCCTGTTTCCCTCTGACCCCCAGTTTCTCCTCTCCCACTAGGAACAGACACGAGGCCCAGTAGAGCCTCCATATTTGGTGGCGGGAAATACCAAGTGAGCTCTTCCTGCATCTGCTGTTTCTCAAGTGCCTTCAGCTCAAGATAATCAATATGCCAAAGCAACATATTTGGGGGTAGCATATTCTGATCCCCTTCAGCTAGAACACTCTTTCCTCTGTCTTCCTAGTTATGTCCACTCATAGTCTCTGCCTTCAAGTCTCTGTGTAGATCCACTTCCTCCAGGAAGCCTTCCCTGATCCAACAAGTCTGGGTAGGACTCCCTTCCTGTGCTTCCCGCCCAGGGGTCCTGCTCACACAGCATCCTAGTCATCTGATTCCCAGTCTGAACCCCTGAGAGTGGGGCCATGGCCATCTCACCCGAGTCTCTATCTCCAACACCAAGCACAGGGCCCAGCACAGAGCGGGCCTTAGGTTTCTATTTGTTGAGCTGTTGACCTAAAATTTATTTCAATTTCAATGCTTAGATGATGTGTTTCTTTGCTTCTGGTTGAAAATTCAATTGCTTACATATTATTGGAAAATAGATTTCTGTGAAACATGACAAAGTGAAGAGGTTAAGGGAAAAACCAGAAGATTTTCATCCCTGTTGTGCTACCTGTGGCTCACAGGCTCTGCCCCCAGACTCTCCTCCATGGCCAACTGCTGCCCTGAGAGACTTTTAGGAGGTGAAAATAATCCTCAGTGGGTTGGGCTGAACAGTTCCAGCTGGGGCAGGCTGGAACCACCCCATCATTCATTTGTAAGAATGCAATTTGGTGGGCCAGTTCCTAGTCCTAAGTTAAATACCACCTTAGATGGTGGTGAGATGAAAAGATGGTCCTCTCTGAGGAATTCCTCGCAAGCTCACTTGCCACATTCAGCATGTGGTGATGTCAACCAGAGGGTAAACAGCTTGAGAAGGCCATGAGCTGCGATAGACACACACACCCTAGATCATGCAATGGCTGTCTTCCCTGATTTTACTGGGAGAATCCTGGAAAACTCACTGCAGAGAAGCTGAGAAGAGTCAAAGAGCCCCTTGAACAGCAGCCGTGACAATGCCAATGGGTCAGAACATGTCTGAATTCAAATGAAAATGAAAATACGACATGCCAGAATTTATGGGATACAGCAAAAGCGGTTCTAAGAGCAAAGTTTACAGCAATACAGGCCTACATCAACAAACAAGAAAAATCTCAAATAAATAATCTAACAGTGCACCTAAAGGAACTGGAAAAAGATCAAACAAAGCCCCAAATCAGTAGAAGGAACAAAATACTAAAAATCAGAGCAGAAATAAATGAAATAGATACTAAAAAAATATATAAAAAATCAATGAAACCAAGAGATGGTTCTTTGAAAAGATAAACAAAATTGACAAACCTTATCTAGACTCACCACAAAAAAAGAAAGAAGGCTAAAATAAATGAAATCAGAAAGGAAAGAGGAGAAATTACAAGGCACACCTCAGAAATACAAAAGATTATAACAGAATACTATGAAAAGCTATATGCCAACAAATTGGATAATCTAGAAGAAATTGATAAATTCTTAGAACCATACAACCTTCCAAAACTGAATCAAGAAGAAATAGAGAATTTGAATTGACCAATCACCAGCAAGGAGATCGAAACAGTAATTAGAAACCTTCCAAAAAATAAAAGTCCAGGACCAGACGGCTCCCCTAGTAAATTTTACCAAATGTTCAAAGAAGACTCAATACCTATCCTTCTCAAACTCTTCCCAAAAATTAAAGAGGAAGGGAAGCACCCTAACTCATTCCATGAGGCCAACATTACCCTGACACCAAAACCAGACAAGGACAACACAAACAAAGAAAATTACAGGCCAATATCACTGATGAACATCGATGCAAAAATCCTCAACAAAATACTAGCAAATCGCATACAACAATACATTAAAAAGATTATACACCATGATCAAGTGGGATTTATTCCAGGGATGCAAAGATAGTTCAACATCTGCAAATCAATTAACGCGATACACCGCATTAACAAAATGAACAATAAAAATCACATGATCATCTCAATAGAGAGAAAGCATTTGACAAGACAGCATCCATTTATGATAAAAACTGTGAATAAAATGAGCACAGAAGGAAAGGGCCTCAACATAATAAAGGCCATATATGACAAACCCGTATCATACTCAATGGAGAAAAACTAAAAGCTATCCCTCTAAGAACAGGAACCAGACAAGGATGCCCACTTTCACCACTCTTATTTAACATAGTATTGGAAGTCCTAGCCAGAACAATCAGGCAAGAAAAAGAAATAAAAAAGATCCAAATTGGAAAGGAAGAAGTAAAACCGTCACTATTTGCAGATGACATGATTTTATATACAGAAAACCCAAAAGAATCCTCCAAAAAACTTTTAGAAATAATAAATGAGTACAGTAAAGTTGCAGGATACAAAATCAACATACCAAAATCAGTTGCATTTCCATACACTAACAATGAAGTAGCAGAAAGAGAAATTAAGAATACAATCCCATTTACAAGTGCAACAAAAAGAATAAAATATCTAGGAATAAATTTAATCAAAGAAGTGAAAGACATGTACACTGAAAACTGGAAAACATTGTTGAAAGAAATTGAAGACATGTGCTCTTGGATTGGAAGAATTAACATAGTTAAAATGTCCATACTTCCTAAAGCAATCTACAGATCCAGTGCAATCTTTATCAAAGTTCCAATGACATTTTTCACAGAAACAGAACAAAGAATCCTAAAATTTATATGGAACAACAAAAGACCCCAATTAGCCAAAGGATCCTGAGAAAAAAGAACAAAGCTGGAGGCATCACACTCTCCTTTCAAAATATACTACAAAGCTATAGTAATCAAAACAGCATGGTACTGGCACAAAAATAGACACAAAGATCAATGGAACAGAATCAAGAGCCCAGAAATAAACCCACACATCTATGGACAGCTAATTTTCAACAAGGGAGCCAAGAACATACAATGGAGACAGGAAAGTCTCTTCAAGAAATGGTGCTGGGAAAACTGGACAGCCACATGCAAAAGAAAGAAAGTAGACCGTTATCATACACCATACGCAAAAATTAACTTAAAATGGATTAAAGACTTGAATGTAAGACCTGAAACCATAAAACTTCTAGAAGAAAACATTGGCAGTATGCTTTCTGACATCGGTCTTAGCACCATATTTTCAAATACCATGTCTGGCAAGGGAAACAAAAGAAAAAATAAACAAATGAGACTGCATCAAACTAAAAAGATTCTGCACAGCAAAGGAAACCATCAACAAAATGAAAAGAACCTAACAATTGACAGAAGATATTTGCAAACTATATATCTGATAAGGGGTTAATATCCAACATATATAAAGAACTCATACATCTCAACAGCAAAAAAACAAACAACCCAATTAAAAAAATGGGCAAAACATCTGAACAGACATTTTTACAAAGAAGATATACAGATGGCTAACAGGTGCATGAAAAGATGTTCAACATCAGTAATTGTTAGGGAAATGCAAATCAAAACTACAATGAGATTTCACCTCATACCCATCAGAATGGCTATAACTAACAAGACAAGAAATTACAAGTGTTAGAGAGGATGTGGAGAAAAGGGAACTCACAGACATTGCTGGTGGGAATGCGAATTAGTGCAGCTACTATGGAAAACAGAATGGAGATTCCTCAAAAAATTAAGAATAGAACTACTGTACAATCCAGCTATTCCACTTCTGGATATTTATCCAAAAAACATGAAAACATGAATGCATAAAGATATATGCACCCCTTGTTCATTGCGGCATTATTCACAATAGCCAAGGCTTGGAAGCAACCTAAGTGTCCATCAAGGGACGAATGGATAAAGAAGATGTGGTATATATGCACAATGTAATACTATTCAGACACAAAAAAAAGATGAAATGTTGCCATTTGTGACAACATGGATGGATTTTGAAGGTATCATGCTAAGCGAAATAAATCAGTGCGAGAAAGTCAAATACTGTATGATCTCACTCATAAATAGAAGATAAAAACAGCAACAACAAACTAGCACATAGACACCGAAATTAGATTGGTGGTTACCAGAGGGGAAAGGGAGAGGGAGGAGGGCAGAAAGGGGTGATTGGACACATGTGTATGGTGATGGATGGTAATTAGTCTTTGGGTGGTGAGCATGGTGTAGTCTACACGGAAATTGAAATATAATGATGTATACCTGAAATTTATATAATGTTATAAACCAATGTTACCTCAATAAAAAAATTAATTAACTAATTAAAAAAAAAGAACATGTCTGTATTAAAGGTAGTCTTTCTGAGTACAGACAGAAATGGAAATTATATATTTTTTAATAAACATGTAGACATATTTTATTTGTCAAGGATAAATGTCAGTTTTACTTAGACTATTCAAGTACAGAGGAGTTAGCAACAGAGAGGGCTGCACGCCTGGGCTTAGTTGTGGGTAGTGGAAGTGGCCAGTTTAGGGCCTCAGGGGACAGATGGGGGAGATAGAGTTAGATGAGATGGGGATGTGCAAGGAGAAGGAAGATTAAAAAGGAGACCAGATCTTGGGGAAACTATGCTGGGGAGAGCTTCATTGAAAGTGTCCCCAAAACCCCGGGGGGGACAGCACTCTAGGCCAGGCTGTCGCTGCTGCCAGCTGGAATAGAGAAACTTGACCTCTGGGAGGGCGCAGCTCCTACATGGGTTGAGCAACCCCCCAATGCCTTGGTTTGTGTGGAAGAAGGAAGGCAGAGATACGAGGAAGTGGAGACTGAGGGTCTCGCCATCCCTGCTGGAGAGGGTGGAATTGGGCAGCTGATGCCTTGAAAATGATCAGGAAGGAAGGCAGTGGGGTGCCGGGCCGCAGGTAGGCTGGGAGGGCAGGCCTTGAATTTGTCGATACCAGCAGCACCCTTTTTTTCCAGACAAAGTGTTGTGAACCCGCCTGGGGTTGAGGCCTGGTCTTGTGGAAAGTGAACTTAGCTTCATGGGGCTGACAGCTCTGGCCCAGGATGGTATGTAATTTTGGCTCAGCCTACGACATTGTTCAGGCCAAGCCCAGCCTGGGGGGACCCAGGTCTGGATGTCAGACCAGACCCCTTGTTGGAAATGAGAGTGGTCTAAGGGGTAATTCCGGAAGTAAGGTGCCATCCTAGGTGGTTAATGGTATGGCGTCTAATGTATCTCATGGCCGGGGGCTGCTGAGGCAGGATGTTTGTATGTCTGCGAACAAAACTGACCCACGCTTTGTTTTCCGGGTGGCAGTGCTCCCCTTTGGAATTTGCTTTAGGTTAGGTGCTAACCTCTTCTGTGAGCTCACTGTGCCCCTCCTCCTCCTTTTAACTCTCTTGAGGTTATCCATTCACTTAAAACATTGTGTCTGTGATCTGGTAAGCCTGGGAAAGCTGCTCAAGTCCCTGTTGGAGGGGGGCACTGTTGGTAATTGTGAAGGAGGAAGGCATGTCCCACTGAGACCCTGGATGGGTGGGTTGGTGTTGCTTACTGGTGGAGAGGGTGGGGATTGAATGAGCACGCTGCGGTGGGCCCGCAGCTATGGTACCAGCTGAAAGTTCCAAAAATGCCTTATGGGCCGTGATTTGTTACTATAGCGTTCATCACGGCGATCAGATGGCACCAGGAGGAAGAGAGCCCCTGGCCAGCGCGCGTTGTAGCAGTGCGGGAGTGGAGACCCTGAGGGAGAGAGCCCGCCTAGATGGATGCCTGCAGATTGAATTTCCAGAGGCTTAGGAAGAGGCAGTTCTCCAAAGGCGTGTTTCCAGGCCTTGCTCTGGAAGCCCTGTATTCAGGAGGCCATCATTTAAGGTTTTCGGATGAGCTTATGAGAGGGCAATCTTAAAAAGTCCAAAGCAGATGCATCCGGGGCCATAAGCAGATGTGTTTTTTGGCTGATCCAGGAGCACCAACCTCCGAGCACATGGATGTCAGCAGGCATCCCTCCTTTTCTAGGGTAGAGGTTTTCAGATGCTGTGTCTTCTTAATTGAGCCTCCTGTCATACTAGTAGGGTGCTGTGAACCTTGCTTCAGGAAGATTCTTAAGCTGTAGAACATTTTAACGTTGATCCTACAACGCAGAGTGATGCCTTGCAGATGGAGCTTGCAGATGGAGCCCAGTGACCCTCTCAACCTCCCACCTATCTGCCTGCCTGTGTGCTGGTTGGAGGAATTCTTAGTGTGGTCATATAACCTGTATGGGAAAAAGTTCAAGTGTGAAATGCCTTAGGCAAATACTTAGATGAAGCAGACTGACAAACTGAGGGGGGTCATTGTGTTGTGCTACACTCCGGGAGGGTGCCAGTTGGTCATGCCCAAATTCTGTATTAGAAATAGCAGGCCTAGTTTGGGTATTCCCATTGCATTGCAGATTACTAAGAGAAGGGAATGGTTGGGGTATCTTTGATTCATCTTGCTCTATATGTTTTTTAACTTGAATTTCACTTGATTAGATTTCAAAGTAGTCTTGGTATGCAAATGTGAGGATCCTGAAGTAAGCTTTGTAGGAGGTGGAGGGCACAGCTTGGTACAGAGAGGGGTGGGGGCAGAGAAAGGGAGAGGGTTGGTTATGTATATGTTGCAGAGGGTGGGGGTGAGGGAATGTGGGTTGAAGGGAATTCTCTGGAGAAAAGATCAGTAGGCAGAGCTCTGGGGAATTTAATAGAGTACAGAAAATGCTAGTTAATACTAGCAAATTGTTAATGCTAATTAAATTTGTTGCTTGGAAGCACAAAAGTTGCTTGGGAACTCTTTCTAAAGTGCTTAGAACTCTAAGTGCGGGGGAAAAAAACAAAATTGTTTTGCTTTGCTGCGAGGTGGGGAAGACTGAAAAGATGTTAACTGAAAACCTGAATATCAGTCGCTTGAAAGATGGGTATCAAAAACTTGCATTAGCAGAGGATTAACATCCTGCACTGCTTTGCAAGCTTCTTAAGTGGTTTATCTGAAGCTGTGAAGGTGTGCAATATTCAGGAGCATTACTAGGGTCTTAAAAAAAAGACTCTAAATGCCCGAATCATGGACTTTTAAAGTATTGAAGTTTGAGATTTTGGTGTGCACTCAAGATGAGATTAGACGTACTCTTCTGGGTTTGTGACTCATATTTTTGTTCACTGAGATATTTTACAATTGAAAATTCTGAGCAAAGTGAAAATGCAATGATTTCTAAAGGAATTTTCTATGTTACATCGTGCCTTATAAAAACATCTCTTGTCTTTGTGGTCAGTATTAATAACAGCAAAAGTTTTTGATTACTATCATCTCTTCATAGTCAGTGTAACAAGGAGAACCAAGTAACCTTTTGTGGTTACTGTAAATTTACTGTATTATTTGGTGGTGAACAATCCATGTAACCTCGCTAAGGCTAGAATTAATAATCATTGTATCTTTTGTTTGAAGGTTTGTGCTTTTTAAATGATCCAGTACTAGAAGGAAACTATCAGCCAAAATCAGTTTGGGGAACAAAAGCAAAACTCGGGTGGGGGACTTTTACTAGATGTGATCTGTGTGTCAAGTTCAGGGAAAGATCTGAAAACTCTTCATGTTAATACTTGTTTCTGAGATGCATCTATTGAATTGGTAAAGAAATACCAGTGGTTCTTTATCATGTCCCTCTTCACATTAAGCTTCACTTTAAAATTTTTATATCCCCAATACTTTTTCCCTTGAGATTTTTCTGTCTTCTGGGTTCTTTTTTTGTTTTTGTCTTTTATTTTTTTTTATTTTTTTTTTTTAAGATTTTATTTATTTATTTTTTCCCCCCAAAGCCCCAGTAGATAGTTGTATGTCATAGTTGCACATCCTTCTAGTTGCTGTATGTGGGACTCGGCCTCAGCATGGCCGGAGAAGCGGTGCGTCGGTGTGCGCCCGGGTTCCGAACCCGGGCCACCAGCAGCAGAGCGCGCACACTTAACCACTAAGCCACGGGGCGGCCCAGTGTTTTTGTCTTTTAATGTTTAAAATTATATTGGCATGATAGTTCTGTTCTTAACCAGTGACTCGGGCATGATACAATTACTGTCACTGGAATTTAAAGAGTATTCGTCATGCATGTGTGGGGAGATACATTTGGGATGCTGTTGTGAAATTGAAACTATAAAAGTAGGTGGTTAAAATACTTGTATGTTGCTCTGTATGGTAATAACTAGTTCTGCATCACACATGTGATTATTAATAATTTTTCTTCTCCTTTATAGCACAAATAAAGGTTTGAGTTCTCAATTCATACAAAAAGAATATTCAAGTACAAAAAATGAAAAATTATATACCTGTGACTGTTAAGAAAAAGCTAGAGGGCCGGCCCCATAGCTTAGCGGTTAAGTGCGCGCACTCCGCTGCTGGCGGCCTGGGTTTGGATCCCAGGCGCGCACCGACGCACCGCTTCTCTGGCCATGCTGAGACCACGTCCCCCATACAGCAACTAGAAGGCTGTGCAACTATGACATACCACTATCTACTGAGGCTTTGGGGGAAAAAAACAAATTAATTTTAAAAAAATTAAAAAAAAAAAAAAAGAAAAAGCTAGACACCGTTAAATCATTCTGACAATACTACTAGGGCACTGAATTCAAATATCAGTTGAGATATGAATTATCTGAATTTTTACATCTTTAATAGGCATATGTTCATCATTATTTTCTTTAAAAGCGTTTTTAATAAAATGATTCAACCTTATTATTTTCCCCTGGAAGGCAAAATTTTAAACGATTATGTAATACACCCTAGAGAAAATAGTGTGATAATGCTGTGGTTCAAAGGTACTTATCACTAGAAAAAGGATTTATATACCTGGATGTTTTTACTTTTAAACATATTTTGTTTCATCACAACAATACATCAACCACAATAAGGCATACTGAAGCAGGGAAGGCCATCATGTTATTTAATTTGATACGAAAGCTTAGAATCATGTTACCAAGTAGATAATTGTATCAAAAATTAAAAAGTTCTATAAACCTATAGAGAGCTTAGAGTTTCAGGTACATAGTACATTTTAAAACATATTCTCCCAATTTTTCCTTTCATATGCACCAAAAAAAGGTTCATCTTGGAATATAAATGAAATGAGATAGCTATAATATGAATGAGTTCTGTATTTTCGATGTTACTGACACTTTGCCCTGTGGTATAATGCACTGCAAAGTGACAATATCTGGGCAGCAGGAAAAACAATCTAGATTCATCACAAACCAGCAACTTAAAAACTTGTAACAACAGTGAATATATAAGTGATACCATCCACTCTAGCTTATGTATTGACCTTACACTTGAAAGTATCTTTCCATAAATGTCAGTAACTGTGGCCATTTGCCAGATATAGAATCAGTTACACAGGAGAAAATCAAAGCATACATCTAACATTTTAATAGTTTTCGCTTGTGATGACATCTGTGATCTGGAACGTTTGTTTCACATAAAATTGGAGTTCTTACAGTCCTTGTCCTTCTTTAGGTTGCTGCCCATGCCGCAAGGGACTGGTTCTTTTATTTATTTATTTATTTATTTTTGCTAAGGAAGATTCACCCTGAGCTAACATCTGTTGCCAATCTTCCTGTTTTTGTATGTGAACCACCACTACAGCATGGCCACTGATGAGTGATGTAGGTCCATGCCCAAGAACTGAACCCAGGCCACCAACCACTAGGTCACTGGGGCTGGCCCTGTAATAGTCTTTTTCAAAGGTGATATATGCACACTGTAAAAAAATTAAGTAGTACAAAAGGGATCTAGTGAGAATATGTCTCTTCCTAGCTGGGATCCTCCAAGACTGCAGCCCCATCCTGTTCCAGACTCTTTCAAATATGTGATCTCATTTCATCTTTATTTTGTTTTTAATGGACTATTTTAAACTAAATCTTAATGTTATTTTAGTTAAGTATTAAATAAATAAATTTTAATTAATTTTAAAATGTTAAATAATAAAAATGCTCGTTCTCCTTTAAAAATATTAAAAAGTGATAGAGATTTTAAAAATAAGACAGACAAAAGGCTAAAATAAAATAGAAAAGTAGCAAAATGCTAACAGTTGATGATGGGGCTATAAGTGATTTTTAAAATTTTTTTATACATTTCTATTTTTCTAAAAATTCTACCATAAATACGTATTGTTACATCATTAAAATCACTCTTTTTTAAAAAAGATTTATTGAGGTATAATTGACATACCAATAAACTGCACATATTTATGTATACAATTTTACAAGTTTGGGCATGTATATACACCTATGAAACCATTACCATAATCAAGGTAAAGAATATGTCTTCTCTACTTCACACCATATACAAAAATTCATTCAAAATGGATCAAAGACCTAAATGTAAGAGCTAAAACTATAAAACACTTTCAAGAAAGCATAGAAGAAAATCTTCATGACTTTGGATCATGCAATGGTTTCTTAGATACGACACCAAAAATAACAAAAGAAAAAATAAATAAATTGGACTTCATCAAAATTAAAAACTTTCCTGCTTCAAAGGACACTACAAGAAAGTGAAAAGATGACCCACAGAATGGGAGAAAATATTTGCAACATGTATCTTATGAGGAAATTGTATCCAGAATATATCAAGAACTTTCACATTTCAACAATAAAACAATCACCCAATTTAAAAATGGGCAAAGGATTTGAAAAGACATTTCTCCAAAGAAGATATATAGATGGCCAATAAGCACATGAAAATATGTTCCACATTATTAGTGATTAAGGAAATAACACTTTACACCCACCAGGATGGCTATAGTGGAAAAGACACACAATGACAGGTTAGCGAAGATGTAGAGAAAATGGACATTAGGTTCTCACCAATTTTTTGCTGTTACAAACAACGCTGGTATGAACATTTGTGTACAAATCTCTCCTAGCAGTGTCTTTCAAAGGGAGAAGTTTTTAATTTTAATGAAGTCCAATTTATCAATTTTTTTTCTTTTAAGGATCTTGCTCTCCATATTGTATCTAAGAAATCTTTGCCTAACCCAGGATCACAAAGATCCTATGTTTTCTTCTAGAAGTTGTATAGTTTTACATTCAGGTGTATCTTTGTACACATGGATATCCAATTGTTCCCACACCATTTGCTGGAAAGACTGACCCTCTAGTACTTCCAGGTGGTTCTTTTCCCACCCTTGACTAGTTTCCTCACATACATGCTTCAGTACTCAGTACTCAGTGAAAGAACTCAGAGTTCTTTTTCTGAGCAGTTTTTTCTCCTCTTGGTTTCCCCAAACTCTCAGATCCATCTCCTCAACTCAGGGAGACTGCCAGGCTCTGCCTCAGTTTCCCTCCCTGTGCTGCAGCCTGAAAATTCTCTCTAGATGATAAACTGGGGCAATTGTAGGGCTCACCTTGTTTGTTTGCCATATCTCAAGGATCACTGTCCTTCCTCTCCTGATCTGATAGCCAATGTCCTAAAAACCCTTGTCTCGTGTATTTTGTCTGTTTTCTGTTGTTTCAGGCCCACAAGAGGGTAATTTCCGTCCCTCTTACTCCATCTTGGCAAGAAGTGGAAATTCAAGTAAGTTTTTTTATTTGACTGCTGGATTTTGAGAGTATATATAAGGAAGCCAATCTCCTCTGGAAGCTCAATTTCCTTATTAAGTTCCAAGTCTGGAAAGTTGGGGGGAAGTAGACATTGTAGGCATTGAAGGTCGTGTCACCCTTACTTTCCAGAAATTTGATGACATTTTGCAGTGAGAAGATGTTCACATTGGCATATCTAAAAAACGTTGTGAAGGCCAGCCCTGGTGGCCTCGTGGTTAAGTTCAGCGTGCTCCACTTCGGCGGCCTGGGTTTGGTTCCCAGGTGTGGAACCACACCATTTGTCTGTCAGTAGCCATGCTGTGGCAGTGGCTCACATAGAAGAACTAGAAAGACATACAACTATACTATACAATTATGTACTGGGGCTTTGGGGAGGGAAAAAAAAAGAGGAAGATTGGCAACAGATATTAGCTCAGGGCAAATCTTTCCCAGCAAAAAAAAAAAAAAAAATTATTGTAAAATTGCCTTCTCTGAAGGTCCTAAAGCCTTCTAATGGTTCCTGTCCCTTCTCTTTATCAAAATTCTACTCAAATTTCAAGGGAAAAGATCTTTCCCAGAGTCATGGCTAAGAGAATTAACCATTATACCCAAACCTCAGCCTAACGCCTATGGGAGTTTTTATTCCCACAGGAATATATATCTAAACTAACTAAATAAATAACCAAATAATACACACACATAGAATAAATACAGATAAAATACACTTTTTCAATGATGTATCCTGAGGCAATATTAGTGCATGTTACAATTCCACATCATACACACACATTTTGAGTTTGGTTTTTCAGCTCTTATTGTGAAGTTCTCCGTGCTCCCTTCTGCTCCTCATGTGTCTCTCCTCTGCTTTCTTCCTGGTTCTTCCTTCTCTCCTTCCTAATCCTCAGGGAACCCTGGATACACTCACAGGAATTTTTTACCCCAGCTCAGAGTTTCTAGACAGCTTTGGACTCCACCTTACAAGCCAAAACCAAAAGCAAAGAAAATTAAAACTCACCTTTAACTAGATTGCTGGCGTTTTTACTTTTAATATACTAGTACATTAGCTGCTTATTTTGGCTCAGGTTGAAAGATCAACCTCTAGCAGAGACAAGGAAGGTAAATAACCTTTGTGGATGGAATATCGTGTGCCTGATGTTTTATTTATGTACATAGAATGAGCAGTCCTCATGGACCAATCATAGACCAACCTCCCTTGATAACCATCCTGTTGGGCTGGTTCTTATCCTGCTCTGGATGAAAACTCAGGCAGGCCTCAGGATTTTTATGGCCTCTGCTGCATAATACTAGGCCCTCCAGTGGGAAATTAGAATGTCCAGCACCTTGTAATACTCAAAAGCCCAACTTCATTAAAGGCCCAATTACTACCCTTCCCCCCGAGCTCAGGCTTGTTGTGGGCAGGAAGCTTATAGTATAGAAAGGAGATATGATTACTTTTTCTCTTTTCTTCACCTTTTTTCCAATTTTACTCCTCTTGCTCTTTCTTCACCCTCTTGCTAACCATCATTTCTGCCGCATCCAGGGTCAATGTGTGGGGAGCTAGGGAGGAGACAGTAGAAGCAGAGCATTGGAAGAAGGAAAGTCTCTCCTTGTCAGGTACTGTCATAAGCCGACTTTGCTCTCTCTGGCACAAGAAGGTGTTGAAAGCTCTCTTTCTCTCATAGGACAAGAGTGGGTTCTTAGTAGATACCCCCCATCAATGGGGCACTCTCTTGCAGACCCCTTGACAAGAACACATGCATCCATCATCTAGTTGGTCTTTCACTCTTTTCTGCCAAGGCCTTTCCAAGGTGGCCTTCTCTGGGACAGGACCCAAGACAGTCCTATACCTGAAAGAAAGGAGGCTGAAGCAATGAGCTAGCTGGAGAAGGACACCCCAGACTCAGGGAACAGTGAGCACAATGGCCCTGAAGAGGGGGCACGCTGTGCACGTCTGAGGAACAGCAAGGAGGGAACACAGTGAGCAAGGGGGGCAATGGGAGGAGATAAGGACAGGGAATAGCAGAGACTGGAGCATATGGGGCCTCACAGGCGAGGACCTCAGCTTCACTCTGTGTGGGGTGGATAGGAAGCCATGTCACGGGAGGAGTGCCATGATCTGATTTTAGCTTTAAAAGAATCAATTTAGCCACTGTGTGGAGGATAGAATTGAGAGGAAGTGAAAATAGGAAAGGCTGATTGTATGGAGATTAACTAGGAGGCTTTGCAATGATCCAGGTGAGAAAAGATGGTGGCTTGGACCCGTGTGGAAGTGCTAGAGGTAATGAGAGGTGGGCTGGGTAATATTTTGAAGGTAGAGTCAATGGATCCCTGACAGATTGGATCAGGAGTATGAAAGAAAGCTGTCTCCAAAGTTTTTGGCCTTAACAAGTGGAAGGAAAGAGTTTGCCTGAGGAAGACAACATATTTGGGATAGAGATGGAATCAGGAGATTGTTTGGACATGTTAATTTTGAGACCATGTTGGATCCCCAAGTGGCAAAGTCAAGCAGGCAGTTAGGTGCATGAGTCTGGAGTTCAGGAAGAGGATCAGGCTGGAGATATCAATCTTGGAGTCGTTAGCATATAGATGCCATTTAGAGTCCTGAGATTGAGTTGATCAAAAGGAAATGAAAGTGGATAAAGAGAAGAGGTCCAAGGTCTAAGCCTGGGGCCTCCAACCTTAAGATATGGAGATGCAGAGAAACCACAAAGAGGTTGAGAATAGCAACCCACAGGCAGGAGAACCAGCAGTATCTCAGGAGCCAGTATGACGTAAGTCTTCAGGAATGACCAACAGCTTCAAATGCTGCCAGGGTCAAGAAGATGCATTGACCACTGGCAACGTGGGGGTCATTGGTGACCTTGACAATGGCTGTTTTGGCAGAGGAGTGAAGACTGATTTAAGTGTGGCCAGAAGAGAATGAGAGGAGAGGAAGCAAAGACAGTGAGTGAGACAAATCTTTTGAGGACTTTAAAGGATGAAACAGAGGCAGTAGCTGGAGGGAGATATGGAGTCAATGGAAGTTTTGTACGATTTTAAGAGAGGAGACATTAGAGCATGATTGCATGCTAATTGGAAGAGTGCAGGAGAGAATTGCCATAGTGAAGTGCTTAGGTCGACAAGAAAGGATTAGATCTAGTGAACGTCAAAAGTGTCGCCCCCACAACAAAAGACCCCGAATAGCTAAAGAAATCCTAAAGAAAAAGAACAAAGCAGGAGGCATCACAATCCCTGACTTCAAAACATACTACAAAGCAATAGTAATCAAAACAGCATGGTACTGGTACAAAAACAGACACACAGGTCAATGGAACAGAATTGAAAGCCCAGAAATAAAACCACACATATACGGACAGCTAATTTTCTACAAAGGTGCTAAGAACATGCAATGGAGAAAGGAAAGTCTCTTCAATAAATGGTGTTGGGAAAACTGGACAGCCACATGCAAAAGAATGAAAGTGGACCATCTGCTATCGCCATTCACAAAAATTAACTCAAAATGGATCAAAGACCTGAAGGTGAGACCTGAAACTATAAAACTCATAGAAGAAAATATAGGCAACACACTATTTGACATTGGTTTTAAAGGAATCTTTTCAGATGACATGCCTACCCAGACTAGGGAAACTAAAGAAAAAATAAACAAGTGGGACTTTATCAGATTAAAGAGCTTTTATAGGACAAATGAAACCAGAATCAAGATGAACAGACAACCAACAAGCTGGGAGAGAATATTTGCAAAACATACATCTGACAAGGGGTTGATCTCCATAATATATAAAGAACTCACACAATTGAACAATAAAAAAACAAACAACCCGATCAAAAAATGGGCAGAGGAAATGAACAGACACTTCTCCAAAGAAGATATACAGATGGCCAATAGGCACATGAAAAGATGCTCAACATCACTAATCATCAGGGAAATGCAAATCAAAACAACACTAAGATACCACCTCACGCCTGTTAGAATGGCTATAATCACCAAGACAAAAAACAACAAATGTTGGAGAGGATGTGGAGAAACAGGAACCCTCATACACAGCTGGTGGGAATGCAAACTGGTGCAGCCTCTATGGAAAATGGTATGGAGATTCCTCAAAGAATTAAAAATAGAGATGCCCTATGATCCAGCCATCCCACTACTGGGAATCTATCCAACGCACCTGAAATCAACAATCCAAAGAGGCTTATGCACCCCTATGTTCATTGCAGCATTATTCACCATAGCCAAGAAGTGGAAGCAACCTAAGTGTCCCTTGACTGACGATTGGATTAAGAAAATGTGGTATATATATACAATGGAATACTACTCAGCCATAAAAAAAGATAAACTCGTGCCATTTGCAACAACATGGATGGGTCTGGAGCGTATTATGTTAAGTGAAATAAGCCAGAAAGAGAAAGACAAACACTGTATGATCTCACTCATATGTGGAATATAAACCAACACATGGACAGAGAAAACTGGACTGTGGTTACCAGGGGCAGTGGGGGTGGGGGGTGGGCACAAGGGGTGAAGGGAGTCATATATATGGTGATGGACAAACAAAAATATACAACCCAAAATTTCACAATGTTAGAAACCATTAAAACATCAATTAAAAAAAAAAAAAGTGTCGCCCCCAGATGGTGGTCTAATCACAGGAAAGAGACCAGAGTAAATGGGCACCAACACAAGCAGGATGATGGAGGGAGCATGTGGAAGTTTTATTCATTTTCTCAATGAAATATGGAGTGAGGTCATCAGTAGAGAGTGAGGAGGGAGAAGGAAGTTGGAGGAAAGAGGAGGAGGTGTGTAATAGCAGATTAGGGGAGTGGAAAATGGAGACAGATTACCAGGCAAAACCAAGGGCCCACTTGAGGTCGCTAGTCATAGAGTTAAGTTAAGCATAGGTTGTATGCATTTCTCCAGCCACTTCAGGGACCCAGAGCAGGCATGGAGTAGAGACATAGACTTCAAAGAAACACAAAGTAAGATAAAATTCCATTTTCTTAAAAATTTAACAGAAAAGATGTGTAAGATATCCCCAAAATACCAGGGAAAAGTCAAATAGAAACTCTCACATGTATCTGGTAAGAGTGTAAATTGGTGCAATTAACTTCAGAAATTATTTCCTGAGTCTTAACAATATTCATTTTGCCCTTCTAGGAATCTATTCTAGGAATATAATAAAAACTAAGAAAATGTGTGCACAAAAATATTCATGTAAGTATTATTTACACTTGTGAAAAATTGAAAATAACTAAATTACTAACATTAGCAGATTGGTAACAAAAATAACAGGATAACCATCTATGACTTCATTGAAATGGATGTTTACAAAGAGTCTTTACAATGTGAAAAAAATCCTTAAGATATAAAGTTATGCACTAAAAATAAGCAGGATAAAACACATTTTTAAAAGTCACAGGGAAAATTCCAAAATGTTGAGTGTAATTATCTTTGGGTAGTAGGATTATAGATTATTTTCATTTTATTAATTATTGTTTTCTGTACTTCCCAAAATGAGTAGATATTTCGGTCATAATCGGAACAAAAATACTATGTTTAAAAAGATGGTCCTTTCTGAAAGCAGGAGGATGGACTTGAAAGCATGGGGTTCCTTCCAGTCCTGGGGTTCACAAGGAGTCTCTTCAGTCTCACATTTCAGGTTGTGCAAATTCCAGGCACATCCAAAAATTCCCTCCCAAGTGGTCTCTATTTACCTCATCAGAAATGAACACTTGAAAGCTTTAACCTGAAGATAAAATGGAGTAGTTCATTTACAACGAACTATTCAAGGTGTAATAGATTCTTATTCTAGAATGATTAGCATCTCCTAATGTCTTCCTATCTAGGCTTGCCCCAGCCTCCCCAGCATTTAGAGATGGCCTTCTGGACTTGGGAATATCAAGACTCCAGCAGATACCCTAACCAAGGTTTGTAAAATTCTTTTACTTATAAATTCATCAAAGAAAACATTGGAGTGCATCCAAAGGAACTTCTATTACTGTATCAGTCAACTCTTACAACATAACAAACACCCGCGGAATGTCAATGGCACACAGTTGTAAGCATACATTTCCCTCATGCATTTGTGTATTGGCTGGAGCCAGTCTGATACAGGCTGAGCTTGGCTGGGCAGCTCTAAGCTGCAAATTGGGACTAGATCTGCTCCATGTGTCTCTTATCCTCCCTAGACCAGTGGGCTAATTTGGCATGTTCTCTGATGATGGCAAATGTGTAAAAAAAAAGCCCAACCATGCAAGTACATGTCCAGTCCCTGCTCGTATGCCTGTTGATGGCCCATTGGCCAAAACAAGTCACACGGCAAGCCCAAAGTCATGAACAAACGAACTGTCTCTAGTGGAACTGCAGAGTCACACGGAATGAGCGTGAATACAGGGAGGAGTGAAGAATCTGAGTCAATAAATCAATCTACCATAAGCAGGAAAGCAAGAAAAACAAAGACGATGCAAACATGGAAGGTGGAAATTAATTTTCAAAGAGTAGATTCCTCAGTCAAAATCTAATCATGAACAGCTCCTATTCCTGGTTACTTTCTTAACACCTGTTGAAACCCAAACCCCAAAGCCCCAGTATTCAGTCCTTGAGCATTTCTCATACCCATCTCCTCCAGAGGAGAGACTGGAGCCAGAGACCCAGCCCAGACAGGTCAGCGGGTTAACGGACATCATCCTAGGGAAGAAATAGAAACCTTGGCTTTTCTTTATCTTTGGAATACCAGAGGCTGAAGCCTTCCCCAGCCCTCTAAGCCAGGCTCAAGGCCCTCCAGTCTGCCCTGCACCCCAAAGCCCCATCAAGGTGATGAGGAAACAGGTCTAGAGGGTTCATTTCTCCAATCTTCCCCAGAGGCTGGAGGCTGAAGCCTGAGCTATGTGCTATTAGAGTCCTTCTAAATGGGAATTCTGTCATTACTAAGGGAAACACCATTCTTCTGAAACACAAAAAAGAGCATGCCATAATAGCACTAGAATATGCTTAATGCAGCCTGAAAATTTCTCCCCCCACCCCACCATCTTTCCCCCTCTCCTTCTCCTCCTCCTCCCTCCCCCGTGCCTCTCTCTCTCCCTCTTCCTATCCTTGTCCCCCACCTTCTCCTTCTCCTTCTTTTCAAGCCCATTTCCAAAGCTGACCTGAACATTCAACAGAGGCCCTGAACCAGTTCAACCACACAGCCTGGGGCCCAGAGACGCACCATAGTAATGATTTGCATTCCAACACTAGCTCACAGAAGTCAGGAGTTCTACCTCCTGCTGTGAAACATGGTGGTTAAGAGCACTGGACTTTGGGATCAGACAGACCTGAATGGAAACCTGTCTTCTCCTCCCTACCATGTGACCTTAGGCAAATTGCTTAACCCCTCAGGTTCCTCATGGGTAGAGTGGGGACTGTAACAGTAGCTACCTCATAGGACTATTGTGTGGATATTGCGAGATAAAATGTGAAAGTGTTTAGTACAGTGCCTGCCACATGGTAAATGCTCAATAAAGTGTAGCTATAATAATTTGATGTGGAAACTGTAGACCTCCAGCAAGAAGACACCCAATCCTTACGAACTCCAAAGAGCAGAGATGAATTTCACGTCCACAGTCCCCACCTCAGAGGTAAAAGGAAAGTGTTTGGAGCTAACCGCTCCTGGGTACTCAAACGTTACAATGGATATTTTTGTGGTCTGAGCAACAACATGCAAAAACGCAGGTGTCTGTGGCCTGTGAACTTAAATGTGAAACCACCATCACCCAACGATAAGCCAGGCACACCTGTTGGTATCTGTAGAGGTTACCACATAGCACAAACCAGCTCTTTCCTTCTGCTTCACTGGGTGGATCAATAAACTTTTTCATGCCACTGGTTAAGACACGACTTGTCATCACAACTCCACTTTCAAAATAAATTGTGCCTTCTTTTGATAAATTCAATACATTTCCTCGCACCCTGATTTGATCTGGTAAGGATGTGTGGAGTATTTACACCATGGTAGATGTTGTGGGTATTTAAAAGGCAGAAAGAAAGAAAATAGGCATTTTTTTGAGTTCTTGCTATGATAAACTACCTAATGGGTCTTTATAACCCCCTGCTCTGCTTTGTTTAAGGAGGGTGGATCCAGAAAGACCATTTGTATAACCAGGAGTAAGTAATGCTTCATGTAAGAAAAACGAGGCCGTTTCAGTGGCCCAAGACAACAGATGTTGATCTCTCACTCCTGCATCAGCCCAGTGTGATGTCCCTGGTCAGCGAACAGCTTCCTTCCAAGTGCTGATTCAGGCATCCAGGCTCCTTTCATCTCATGGACCTGCCATCCCTTATGGCCTCAAAGTCCCCTGCACCCAAACTGCAGAGGGCAAGAGAGAGTATGGAGAAAACTTGCCCACTTCTTAAAGCCCACTCCCAGAAGCAACACGCATCACTTCTGTTCACATTACACTGGCAAGAATTAATCACATGGCCACTCCTGGATACAAGGAAAGCAGGAAAATGTAATTCTCTTTCCTCTTGGGACAGAAACAATTCCACACTGTGGAAAAGGAAGCGTAAATTTTTGGTAAATTGTTAGTTACCTATGTATATGCATGTTAATACATCATTATTTCTTTTTGCCTATTTTCCCCACTCTGAGATGAGCTCCATTAGAGCAGGGGTTTGTTTTGTTCATTGTAGAATCCCCAGTTGGTGGTGATGCCTGCACTGGACCTGGAAGGAGTTATCCAGGTGCAGCTGTTAGAGAAAGACAGGCCATGCTAAGGGGGTGGATGGCATGTGAAAAGCAGGAAGTGTCAGGGTGTGGTGCGTTTGGAGAGCTACAGTTGCCTACTCTGCCAAGAGAGGAGCGTGGGGTCTGGCCAGGGCACGGCAGGAGCCTGGGGGCAGGGCCCAGAATGGGCAGGCTCTTTAGCCTCAGGCTAAGGAGTTGAAATCTATCCTTAAGTACCATACAACCCAGAAATTCCCCTCCCAGGTATGTACGCAAAAGACACAAAAACATATGCCCACACAAAAATCTGTACCCAACTGTTCATAGCAGCATTGTTCATAATAGTCAAAAGGTAGAGGTAACAAAAATGTCCATCAATAAATGAGTGGATAAACAAAATGAATTATAAACAATGAAATATTATTCAGCCATTAAAAGGAATGAAGTACTGATTCATGCTACAACTTGGATGAACCTTGAAAACATTATGGTAAGTCAAAGAAGCCAGACACAAAAGACCACATATTGTATGGTTCCATTTGTATGAAACATGCAGAATAGACAGATCCAAGAACAGAAGTGGATTTTGCCAGGGATCGGAAGGAAAGGAGAATGGAGAGTGAGTACTAATTGGTACAGGGTTTCTTTTTGGGGAGATGTCAATGTTCTGGAATTAGATAGTGGTGATGGTTGCACAACTCTGCAAATATACGAAAAACAACAGAACTGTACGCTTTAAAAGGGTGAATTCCGGGGGCCGGCCCAGTGGCATAGTGGTTAAGTTTGTGTGCTCGGCTTCGGTGGCCCAAGGTTCTCAGGTTCGGATCCTGGGTGTGGACCCACGCACTACTTATCAAGCCATGCTGTGGCAGGCGTCCCACATATAAAGTAGAGGAAGATGGGCACGGATGTTAGCCTACAGTCAATGTTCCTCAGCAAAAAGAGGAGGATGGGCTATAGATGTTAGCTCAGAGCTAATCTTCCTCACCAAAAACAAGGAAAAAAAAAAGGGTGAACTCTGTAATATGTGAATTATATCTCAATAAAACTGTTATTTGAAAAATCTATCCTTAAGACAATGAGGAAGGATGAAAGAGTTTTAAGCCAGTAACAGTGATGTGGTCAGATATCCCACTGGTGGTTCCATTAACGACAGATTGCAGAGGATGGAGAATAGAGCATGAAGATTGGTAATCTAGTGAACACAACAGGAGCTGAACTAAGGTAGTGGAGTTAACACTCCCCCGGGGAGTTAACACTGGGTCAAAGGATAGAAAAAATGGAGAGAGCACAGAACCAGCTTTGCAGCTCTCCCTGTAAAACCACAAAGCTAAGCTATGCAAGCAAAACATGCATAGCACACAAGAAGAACCAGGCCTGCTCCTAATCCTATTTCATACCTTTGAGGAGCAACTAGGTAGCTCATGCTGCTGGCACAGGAATTTAGCTCCAGGGAGTTTGTCTTTTCAGCCCCAGAACATGGAGCAAGTTTCCAAGGTTCTCACCCCTGCTAATCTGGGCTGAGCAACGCTGGCTTCTGGCTTTGTGGTTGACATTTGGTCATTTTTCTTTTAAAGTATTAGTAAATAAATGCATATTTCAGAAAGCTATTTGCATATCCTTGAAATGTCTCCCACTGAAACAGAGAGTGATGGTTTGTGAGTTAGTAAATGAGTGATGCAGGCAATGAATTTAGTACCCAAATTTGATGCCCTGTCCTACAGCAAACTGTACAACTCAGTTGGATTTCACAAATATCTGCTGTGTGCCAGGGACCAAGGGATACGGAATGGATAGGAAAGTGGCCCATGTCCTTCAGAAGCTCACATGCTGGTGGGAGAGAGTGACTCTGAGACAGATGGGTGTGAGGTTACAGAACTGCAATGATGGAGAGATGCACGTGCATCCCTGGGGGGTGGGGAGAGGCTTCCTAGAGGGACAGCTTCCAGTCTGGGTGGACTCCACAGTCTGTGGGCCCTGAGGTTGGCTTTGCATCCATCAGCTCACGGAGTAACTTTTCCTGGGTGGGGGAACCCAGTGTGCACGCAGAATTGGAAGGCAGGGAAGGAGGAGCTGCGATACTGGTGATGGAGCAAATAAGAACACTTTTCAGGTAAAATCCCAAGACTAGAAAACAGGAAAGTCCAATCTATAGTTGCCTTTGGGAGGTGGTTGACTGTGAAGGTTCCTGAGAGAGTCTCTTGGGGTGCTAAAAATGTTCTATATTCTTGTTTGGATGTTGATTGCAGGAGAAAGAGAGAGTGTGTGTGTGTGTGTGTGTGTGTGTGTGTGTGTGTGTGTGTGTGTGTGTGTGTCTTTAAGCTCACATCAAAAAAACAAAATAAAACCCTAGGCCTGCTACCATAACGGGACTTATTCATCATATTTTTTCAATAGCACAAAAAATTATCCACATTGTGTTTCCCATTTACAGGTATTTTCTTCTGTGTGATCTCATTCATTTCTCTCACTAAACCTCAGATTAATTAGGACACATGTTTTATGCCAGAAACTCAAACTCAAATGCATTAAATAACTTGCCCCAAATCATCCAGCTAGAAAGTAGCAGAGCCAGGATTTGAATCAGTTCTCCTAGCTCATAGTTCAGCTATATTCCCATTATCCCAAGCTAGTTTCAAAATTGGGAGCTGTTCATATTCTAACTGCATTTTGTGCCAAAAAGGCCCAGGAAGCATCTCTTAGCTGCTTCTAACGTGAACTCCTTTCAACTCAGTTCAGCCAAGCCTCGATCTGCTGTGTGCCAGGCACAAACCAGCTCTTGGGGTACCTGGTGGGGGTACACCTCCCACACCTTCAAACAGTTCATGGGCTAGTGGAGGAGGCAGGTTGTGCAGACCTGGTCATGGCTGAAGCAGAGTGTAAAACAGGTGTTATGCTAGAGATACAGGGGGTGATGTGAAAGCCAATGAGGCAGCCATGATTTTCAGTTGGTGTTCATCTCATCTCCCCAAAATTTCGCTATCCTTGAACCAAGCTGGGTGGCTGCCAGATTAGCTGTCTGTACTGCTGGGCTCCTGAAGAAGCTGTTCTATGACTTCTCCAGGTAATTTCTGTGTTTCCTCTTTTCCACATGTTCCCTGGGCCTCGCCTGGGAAGCCAAAGGGAGCCCCAGAGCTTTACTCGCCAGTCGCTTCTCTGGAAGTCACGTGTTAGCCATGGCTGCACTGACCTTGGTTCTGAGATTGTCAGGCATTGGCTGGAAGATAAGTGAAAACACTGGGTTTTACTGACAAGGAGCAAAGTCTGTGAAATTTCTGCCTGTTCAAAGTCCCAACGAGGCCAAACTCTGAGCCTCAAGTGGCAGGAGATCGCTCACCCAGATCTCTCCTGGGGGGCCAGCTGGTACAACAGAAGGAGCACGAGCTTAACCCGGGCGAGCCTCGATGTGGTCCTGCTCTGCTGCTCTCCACTGCTGTGACCGAAGCCTGGGATGATAACGCCTGCCTCACAGGGCTGCCCTGAGAATGACATGAGAGCACCTGTGTCAAATGCCTCACACGCGGTACTGTTACAACGGCATTGACTTCCAGCCGTGAGGAAATCGTTCAGAGCTTCTCTTTACCGCTCTGGAGCAGACGCGCTCAGTATTGCGTTCACGTCAACATCCCTCTTCAAGTGGCCCTCTTTGAAGGTTACCTCACACACTTTAAATGCTAGACTTGTCTATTTAAATCTCAGAACAGGATGTCTTGCCTCGGACACCCCAGTGTGACCTCTGAGGCTATCGTGCTACCCTGGAAAGGGCGCAGTTCGCGTGACAGTCACCTCATTCCACAGCACAGATGAGATGTAGCTGAAATGGTGACTTTGGGCAGGGCCCAGACCAGGTTCTCATTTTTAGGCGCCAGCTCATGCCCAGTTCCGCTGTCAAAGCGGAATTCAGTTCCCTAAAGTAGAATAGCTCAAGAGGCCCGCAGGGAGGACCGGAGACCTGGAAGGAACAGCCACAGGACAGGAAAAGCCTCACGAGGTCAAGGACCCACCCCCTGCCTTCAGAAGGGGCCTTCCCCACATGCTTTCAGACAAATGATAATCTATCCTTTAAAAACGAAAAAGCCTCAGGAGAAAGCAAACCCCAACCCTCCCACACACTCACCACCAGATTAGTGTGTCCAGCTTAGTGCAGGATCCCTTGTCCATCCTTGGTGATATGGAAAGCAGGTGACCTCTCTTGAGTAGCATTAAATTCCCATTCAGTCTTTTAGGGAAGCAGCACAATGGAACCCCAGCCCTTTGAAATGAGGGGTTTCATTTGCTGACCCCTCCCTTCTCCCCTCAGACCATCTCCAGGTTCCCTGTGTCTCTCTTGGATCGTGCAACCAATAAGAGACTCAGAAAAGGGTCTGAGCTCGGAGCAAAGAAACACAGGTGAGGTGTCTATCATCTTAAGAGAAATAAAGTAGTGAGGGTCTGGTGCAGAGTCTTTTTTTTTTTTTTTTTGTGAGGAAGATCAGCCCTGAGCCAACATCTGCCAATCCTCCTCCTTTTCTGCTGGGGAAGACTGGCCCTGGGCTAACATCTGTGCCCATCTTCCTCCACTCTACATGGGACGCCGCCACAGCATGGCTTGCCAAGCAGTGCATTTGTGCGCACCGGGATCCGAACCGGCAAACCCCGGACCGCTGCAGCAGAGAGCAAGCTCTTAACCGCTTGCGCCACCGGGCTGGCCCCCAATCCTCCTCTTTTTGCTGAGGAAGACCAGCCCTGAGCTAACATCTATTCCCAATCCTCCTCCTTTTTTTTCCCTTTTTCTCCCCAAGGCCCCAGTAGATAGTTGTATGTCATAGTTGCACACAGAGTCTTAATTATCAGGAAAAATGGTAATCCGACCTTTTGGAGAATGGTAGTGCATCTGTCTTTTTTTTCTTCCCAGGAGGAAAACAGTTTTGCCTTTAAAAACAGGACTGAACACAACATGAACCTCAGGATGTGGCAGGAGTGAAAGGCAGAATTCGCACGGAGGAAAACTTACTGCTTTGGTATCTCAGATCACAAATTACAAACGGTTGTGTGCAGTCTGAAAAACACCGTTCAGCAGCCTGCCAAGGAGAAGCAATCTCTTCACTTTCTCAACCAAGATTTAAAAATCAGAAAAGGATCCAGATTTCATTTTCCCATGAGCCCTGGGACCCGTGGGGCCATGGCCCTAACCTGTTTCATAACCTCTCTGAGGGCCGGATCTAATCTTAGCACAACGGGCTTCCTCAGATCAAGGTGACCTTCCTCCCGAATGTTTTTCTTGTCCGCGTGCCCCCTGGATCCCTTGCCTACTGGCCTTACGCAACTTCTCTTATCTGCGCAGGAGCTGTTGGTAAGCAAAAGTCCTTGTGGACACGG